TCCTTCATTGTAACCTCTATGGTCGGTCTGTAGGTCTGGGATCAATCGCCCAGACACGTTTGTCATGTACCGAGCGTGTCGTCATTTTCAAAATTACCCTACGTACAATTCTAGGGTGCAGGTCTACGAGCATGCCAACGGAATATTATTCTCTGAACCCCCGTGACAGCGCCATATGTTAGGGATGTGCGAAAGCAACATTGCTTTTTCATTGGTTTTCACACATCGTCTCTCCGCCTGTGTTGGCCTTATAGTCCAGGACTATTAGACGAAAAGAAGGCTAATCTGCTGAAAAAATCCCACCTGGCTGAATTTTTTACCCGAGCTTCTTTTCAATATTACAAATCATTCCTCAAAAGTCTCCATGAATCCAAGTGAAGATTTTTTCCATATTTTTCGGAAATATAAATTCTACGATAAATGAGCAAAAATGTAATTTTTCCATCATTTCGCTCGATACTGGCGTCACGTAAGGTTTTAATACCGCGCTCGACGCAAACAGTCACACCGTCTGACAGCGATTTGTCGCAAATGATGCAATTTTCGATCATTTTTCAATTTATAAGTGAATAATATCACGTAAAAACTGTCTGAAATTATCCGACGCGTCTGTAAACAATTGAGAATAGCAGAATACTGGCCTGAAGACTGGTCAAATGACGTCAATGTCCCACAGTCAGGTATACAGTGACGTACATTCCAGCACAGAAAAAAAGGGCCAGCTGTGATCTAGGTCACTTATAGAGCCCCTACCACAAACATTCAAAAAGAAAACGATGTCAAAATACGGTTTGACGTGAAATTTTTTATTTTTGTCAATTACAACACTTTGACGCAATTTTCTGTAATCTTCTCTACGAAAAAATACATAGAACTTTTTTTTGTGGAGAATTTTATACTGAACCAAAAACTTTATAACGCATTTTATCGTAAAGTTGATCTTTTCGAAGATATATGGAAATAGTGTTTTTGTGACCTTTGACCCCCATGACAAAAAAAGCTCCACTTGAATTCATGGGAACTTTTGAGGGATAACTTATAATGCTGAAAAGAAGCACTGGTAAAAAATTCAGCCAGGTGGGATTTTTTCAGCACAGAAAGTCTAATATTCCTGGACTATTATAGTTTCATCTATTAGAGAAACGTGGCTAATCGAAGTGAAAATAGACGTGGTGCTGTACCTATTTGCATGACACGGCTGTCATATAGTCTCCAACGCACGGTCTAGGGGGTCACTCACCTCCATTATGCTCTTCACTAATTCATTTTCTGGCATTTGTGGCGAATATTAATACCCAATTATCAGGATTTCATCGATGCTTATATGGTAGTAGGAGACAGAAGGACTTGGAAATAGTGTGGATGATATCAGGCTACAGTGAAAGTGAAGAGTGGAACTACACCTGTTTATACCGAAAACGGTGAGAGATAGGAAGTGACTTGGATAGGGCAAAATTGCGTATTTAGGTAACTAATAAAACCCCGCTTAGTAAGTTTCAAAATTCAAAGTACTTCCGGAGAGAGACGCAGAAAACATATTTTTTTCAAAATCGTCTCAGTTTTTTACTGACTTTATTTATAGTTGGATTTAAAAATATATAGCACATTAGTATTGCTACTGTTTCTCCTTTAGATGGCATAATGAGAATTTCAATATGACGTTCCGCATATTGACCTCCCTGATCACGTGTTCAAGAATCCAATACTGCGTCCGACAGAAAAAATAAAGTTGATGCTGGAGGGCAGAGACGAAACGTCATATTGCAATTCTAATTATCTTTTTGTAGAGGAGCAGAATGGCAAGGTTAATGTGCATTTTATTTTTAAATCCCACTATAAAAAAAGTCAGTAAAAATCAAAACGATTTTGGACAAAAAATTTTCCGACTCTCTCCGGAAGTACTTTGAGTTTCAAAAGTTCAAGCGGGATCTTGTTAGTTACCTAAATACGCAACCTTGCGACCATTTAAGCCACTTCGTATCTCTTACCGCTTTTAAGATCCCAATGGTGAGGGTCGAATTTGAAACACCCCGTATTTCCTTTTATTAAGATTTTCAACATTATTGATAAAATTTGGCGTCTCTATTAACCGCGGGACTAAATGAATGCAATATTAAATTTCATGTAATAAAAGTAAATCAAAGTAAGCTCCTTGCACATTATGGATCTACTGGAATGCACGTTTACTGTTCCTCACTCCCTTTTTAGGCACTTCTACCAAATAGTTAAAAGTTCTTCTACAAAATAAAAGCTGAAAAAATAGCTTCATGAGTAGCTCGTAGGAAAATTGCCTAATCTAAAGTCATAAAAACAGGAAATCAAATTGAAGTTTTTTGTCATTGTCTGTGTTTCTTAGTTATTGTACCTGAAAATAAATCCAGACCTTTTGATCTTGATACTGAAAAGATTGTGTAATGATTACTGCTTCGCAAAATAAGTGAAACATGCCCTTGAGTATATACGACTAGCAGATTCGCTAGATTTTCCATGTGCTATGATGTCATCTTCAGCAATTTTGCAATTAAGTATACCATCAAATTGTCATTCATTAACTCGTTATTACAACATTTTTTTATGAGAGTTATTCTTTATAATTAGATATCATTGATTACCCACAAATACAATACTAGCACTTTTGAGCTTTAGTTATACAGTAACAGTTGTAATGAAATCCAAATGTCATGTTGGAAAGAAGAAAAAATGTTATATTGAAATAGCATACATATAAAGGTTGATTGATCGCAGTTTGTCACCGTTTCCATGAGATGGTATTATCATTTTCAGTGCTTTAAAAATGTTTAACCAAATGGTAATATAACGACGCGTCTCCTTTTCCAATAGAAATACCAAAGTATTCTATTTCGTTACTCTCTGCAGTTATCAAGCATAGATTCCATTGTTCAATATCATCTGCTGCTTTGTTTTTAAAGTTCCACTAGTTTTTATCCCATATTTCATAACTTAGTGTTTGGCATTGGTTTCCACTTCCTGTTGTTGCATTCTGTCCATCTTTTATCGATATTAAATATCAAATTATTACAGTATGATGTACCAGGTGGTACCACTTTCGACTGTGGCTTGGTTTTGATTGTTCACTTCCGAAAAAACATGTTTATGGGTTATATTGAATTCCTAAATGTATATTTTAATCATACTACTACCACCACAATTTATCAGAATTCCAGCTGCGGAACCCTATTCTACTGTTCTTGCGTTATTTGGTTATAACGGATGCAGAAAAATAAGTGGAGAGGAAAGAGAGTCTTCATAAAAACTCCATTTTGACGTTCTATTGACCTAAATAGTCAATCAGTTTATTAATATATTTGTATAAAATATTGATATCCTTACACAATATAGGAAGTGTTCAGGATTACTTGCCTTCCAGCTCTGCAACAATCTGTTCAAAAGTCTTCGCTTTCGTCTCCGGTATCACGAATAATGTGAAAAAGATACCTGATCCGGCGATTGCAGCAAATATGAAGAACGTTACGTCATTTCCAATGGCATTGGCCAAATTCAAGTAGAATCTGGCAACCAAGAAAGCCAAAAACCAATTGAATGTTGCCGCTGCCGAGCTACATTTGGACTTGACCTCTGGTGGGAAAATTTCAGAAGACGCCATCCATGGTATGGGCCCCAAGCCAATGGAGAAGGCTATGATGAACAAATTAACGCCAATGATAGGCAGAAAACCTATAGATTTCACGCCATCTTCATCCATAAGATTGCGGTTCTTAAATGTGAAGAATAATCCGATCATCGCGGAGGCCAAAGCCATGAGTCCACAGGAAACCATCAGCAATATCTTCCTTCCAGCTTTTTCAATGGCCCACGAGACACACAATGTTACCACAACCTGGACGATTCCCAGAATGATGACGCACCAATGTGGTTCAAGGTCGGATCCAGCTGCTAAGAAGATCTCCTGTGTGTAGAACGTGACCGCGTTTATTCCACAAAATTGCTGGTAGACCATCAACGTGAAGCAGATCACAGTGGCTTTTTTTGCTGCTTTCGTTTTGATGGCCACTTTGAAGCCGGCCATCTGCTTTTCTTGATCGATGGCAGCTTGTATCGCCTGCAATTCACCTCTGATGTCATAGTCCTTTCCCCTTAGTCTCTCCAACGATTTCTCGGCTTTTCCTTGCTTGCCTTTTCGCATGTAGTAGACAGGGCTTTCGGGTTGGAAAGCAAATACTATAGCGAACACAACCGGTATGGATGTGCAGGCTATGTGAATAGCCGTATAGATGGCATGGCATATCCGAAAACATTAGAGAACAAGATTCCGATTGTGATGAATAACTGGAAGAAGGTACCTAAAGTTCCTCTGATTTCTGGTTCTGATATTTCGCTAGTGTACAGCGGCCCGCACACACAGAACGACCCACCTCCTATTCCGCAAAGGATTCTACCGGCGTACACTATGCCTTTGTGGTTAGCAAACAATATTATGACCCATCCTAGAAAAAGAGGAATGGCTGCTATCAACGCAGCGCCCTTTCTTCCGATCATTTCACAGATGAAGCCCATTGGAATGCACATGATCATTGCGCCTAAAGTCATGCATGATCCTGACCATCCCAGCTGATCGTCGTCCATCTCAAGTTCATTCAATTTGCCATTCTTTAGGTCTTCGCAGATATTCGAGGTCCATCCTATGACACTTCCCGTGCCGAAGGCACCTATGGAGACGCACACTGCCGCCAGGTACTGGGGGAACTTTTTTCCAGAAGACATTTCATATCAATGGGTATCAAAATGTGAAGCGAAAAAGCATGTGACAGCTGAAAAATGTCAATTCTGAGAGTGACATTCGCAAACCCTTCAGAGTCTCCTGATAGGAGAAACAGGTTATTTCGTCTCTCATAGGGCGAATTTTTCTTGCAAGCGGTTTTGTTGTAGTCGACATTAAAATGATTTTATAGTGGTCGGGCAAGGTTCTGATAATGGCGTAATTAATTACGTCTTTTAGAGGCTAGGAAGCGACTGACCACTTTAGAGTAAACTAACGGCGATTTTTTAGTTTAAGTAATTTGTGTGTATTATCATAGTTTTCATCTAGTTGACAATGATTGTGAGCAAAATGGATTGTGAATGATTTCTGGAATTTATGGAGAACATCGAGGAATCGCCTACAACTGAAAGGGTACCAGGAGGATATTTGAGTCATAATTCCGGTCAGTTTCAATAAACACAGCTAAAGAGATTGTCAATGGCGATTTAAAGAGGATATCAATCAACGATGATGAGAATTATAGGAAGGGTATGATGCTTAATGCTTAGAAAGTTATTTGAAATACCTACTTTTTCCATCAGTCTCATCAGGCATTGATGGGGTTCATATCAATCAAAAACCCAGGAAGAGAAGTAGAAGAGATTTTCCGAAATAGAAAAGGAAATTTCTCTTTAAATGTTCAGGTTGGATGTTTGAATTTATCAGAAGAAATGTATGAAATAATAGTTTGCTTCTTAGATTGCAACTGAACCTTCCATGAAATTTTTGGGCATAGTTGTAAGATACCCAGGGTCCATGTATGACAGTGTTATCTTTGAGAGATATTTGAAAAACCTGATGATGAAGCTGACATAATAAATGATAATTTGATCGCTTACATTTTTGTCGTCTATCCCTAACTACAAGTTTTGATGATAAACAACTCAAAAAGTTTACATGACCCATGGGCCAATAGATTTTTGTCTAAATGGCTTTATAGTTTACAACTTTAAGTGCTTTATTTGACCACAATCACCAATCTTACTAATTTTTGTAATCTAATCTAAAACGTTTTTAAATTGGGTAATTAACAAATAAATGGTATTAAGTTTTCCTAAGTTAAGCCAAAATTTGTAGTCACTAAGTAAGTAAGTTTCAATAAATTAAATATTTAAAACACACATGACAACAGCGCGTCGGTGATTCATCACACTTATTGAACCGGCAATCGACCGCAAACGGTAACAGTGCTTAGTTATTGTTCGCGTACGTCGTCGTGTTTATTTACAATGTTCTCCAATCAAGAGTTCGCCGCCATGTTGTTAGTTTACGGTGAAGCTCGTCAGAATTCAAATCTTGCAGCTCAAATTTATCGCGACAGATTTTGCCAACGGGTACACCCAGACAGAAGGATATTTGTGCAAGTGTACCAAAGACTTCGAGATACAGGAAGTGTTCAGCCCACTAATATTCGCACTCCTGAAAGACAGGTCACTGTAGAGCAGGAGGAACAAATTTTAAATATCGTGGAAATCAATGCAGATATCAGCACTCGGGAATTAGGCCGCCACGTAGGACTATCGCATACCATAGTCCATAGAATCCTACAGGAAAATTAGCTTTATCCCTACCATGTACAACGAGTGCAGGCCTTGTTACCAGAAGACTATCCTCGCAGACTAACATTCTGTCAGTGGTTTTTGCACAAAAACATTGAAAATCCGGATTTTTTTAAAAACATTCTAGCGACGGACGAATGTACTTTTACGCGAGACGGGATATTAAATTTCCATAATACTCACACGTGGACCCAGGAAAATCCTCAAACCATTTCCAACAACGTTTTAAAATAAATATTTGGGCGGTTATTCTTGACGGAGGATACCTTAGCTTTCTAGCCAATAACCTACCAGAACTTTTGGAACAGACCTTGGACAACATGCCATTACAATGGAGACAGAATTTGTGGTTTCTTCATGACGGGGCACCACCACACATTTTTAATGCGGCTGAAGCTTGTGTGAAAAGTGGAGGACGACATTTTGAACACCTTCTTTAAATACAAAAAAGTGCAATATGGGTTTTAACAAGAAAAACATGTGTGTATCAAAATTGTGTTCCCTATTTATAAGTGGATTTTTTATTACGCTCAATAAACTTTCACACACCAGGTGAAGCGCTGAGACAGTTAGTGGTAAGTCTGTTTTTTTTTTAAATCGTTTGCATTTTACGAGTACATTATCAAATAATGAAATAATACCTAAGAGCCAAAAATAACAAACTCCATTATTTACACTGCGTTCCGTTGTAATTTGCGTCTGGCATTGCGGCGATGTCAGATTTTATTTTATTTTAAATTCGCTTTTCTCTAAAAAAAATGCCGTTTTGACCCCCATGTTACAGGTATACGAAACCTTTTGCTTCTTTTAACCTCCTCTATCACCCATTTAAATAATGACTATCATAACGTTTACACCCTGTATGTCTAAACACACTTTGCTCTCGTACATATTGAACTAAAGCCGTCAGGCAAATTTGGTTCTCAGTGTAGATAGAATGAAGTACACTACAAATAACAATGGCAAAAAAACAATACGATACATACGTGTGCGGCAATTTACGGTTTATTAAGATATACTAGAAGCATTGGTGGTATGTGACAAATCCACCCAAGTCATAAAAACCCCAATACGATACCTTGTTCTACAAACGCTATCAAGTTTACGTCTTTAACTTATGTTGGAAATAAGTTAAAAAAATTTGGTGTTATGGGGAATTTTGAATGAAATCTATTATAGACAACAATAGTGGGGCTCCTTACTTAGAAAATACTTTTTCAATCAGAAAAAAGACTAAACTTTGACAACATGCACCTGCTATTACAAAAACTTTTAACAGATTATTTTTATGATCCCATGTTTTGTGCCTATCTACTTACTTTTTCTGTTTTTTTTGCTTTCTCAAATGTTGTAATATATCTAAGGTAATGGTGAACAAATTTCTGTACATAACTCGGTGGCGAAGACCATTATTTCCCTGCACATTATTCCCTTGACGCTATGCACCTTGGGCTATAAAAGATGGTCGAGCAATGATGGCATAATTCTCCACTAAGAGCCGTTTTACACACAAGAGAATTACTCCGAAAATTATGGTCATAATTATGCCGAAAATTTTTGCTGTCGTATTACACGTAAAAGAATTCTTGTGAAAATTTTCATGGTAAAAATATAAAACCCGTTCTATATTATAGCGCGAGAATCGGCGCAGAGGGTTATTTCCGTGCATGTCAATATCAAATGTCAACGACAACAACAACAACATAACCTCACTTAACATTTGTGGGAGTGGTCCTGTTCGAGTCGTACGAACGAGCGTTTATTGTTATTGTTTATTCATAATGTGGAATCGGGAAGAATTTACAATGTTGTTGGAGGAGTACCAAAAATGGCCAAACCTGTACAAGGTGAAGTCACCCAATTACAAAAACAGAAATTTGCGGCGTCAGGCACTGGATGCGATAGTCCAAGCATTGAGAAGTTTATAATGTTAACCAAGATCTCGATTTCAAAAATAAATTTAAATTATCGACGTCTGTTGTCTTTCCGATTATATTGGACGTCATACCCGTTAAGGTTATGTCAATTTGAAAATATGCGCAGGCGTATCATATGAATTACTCCGAAATTTTGTTTGCTTGTGTCATACAGGTTGTAGAGAAAATCTTCAATATTTTTTCCATGCAAATTTTCAGCATAATTATGACCATAATTTTCGGAGTAATTCTCTTGTGTGAAAACGGCTCTAAGGTATGTAATACACTATTACTTCCTCAGTTCCCATTCGCTTGATTCTTCGACCTGAAAAGCAGGAAATTGAAATAGGTTTTATTTCAACGTACGTATTTCAAATAAGTTTCTCTCCAACACCAGCAAAATAAGCAAACAAATGACAATATATAAGCCGGTCAAATGATTTCCAAATTATTGATACATCCGATTGATGAGAATAAAAAATTACAGGATTACGAAAAAACTGTGATGAAAGAGTTTCACCAAGAGCAGCTACGAGGTAGATGGCTATCGAAGTAACTATTTTACTTCACTATCTATATCAGTTTTATAATACAAAGTTTTACGATGTTATTAAAGTGATATTTGAGATACAAGTAGTATAACAGACGGTTACATGATCATGAGCATTGTTCGATGATTGTAGTATGTGTCTACCATAATTACATACGTCGAATGGATTCAAGGTGAAAAACAATACGACAAGCCTAAGGTATGTCATGTCCCGTGCGGTATGTCTCGTTCATCGATAGTGATGATGATGGCAGATCATATATTATTGTAGTAATTGTTTGCTTTTGTCATAATATAACAATAATAGTGCAGGCTAGTGATGTCATGTATCATTATACAGGGTGACTTTGAAGTTGAGTCATTAATTTTCAGATAATGATTGTAGAAGGAAGATAAACCAGAATATGTGTGTAAAAATAAAAAAAAAATTAAAAAAAAATTTTTACCTTGTTTTATAAAGTATCCTCCCGACAAGTATTTCAGTGCGGACCTGTATTTGATCGTGAGGTCCCCTGTGAGGTCTTAAGTCACCTGATTCACGAGCCCGTTGTACTACATTAACAAAGGCACGAGGGGTTGGTTGCACTCGATTGGGAAACCGATCCGCATAAACATGTGCCATTTTTATTTCGTTTGAGCCACGCAACAGACACTACTCACACGCTAACCGATTGACACTGACTGTATGTATAACTGAACTGAATAAAATAATTGTAAAAACATCGTTCCAAATTCTTTCGCTTTTTTGTTTCCGATGCGATGAACCGGTAAGGCGGATTATATCCGTTGTTGCCAAACACGAGCACATGATATTATTATTGAGACAGGGCGGTACTCAAACTTCCAAAGGGCTATAACTTTGTTACTTTAATTTTACCAGAAAAATGGTAAAGGAAAAAAACATTTCTTTTGATCAGATCTACTCACTGTTAAAATAA